ACAGGCCAAAGTGCTGCACTTTGAATCAAACAGAAGAATATCAGTCATCTTCTGGTAGGGAGTTTTTGCATATTTTAAAGCACTGCTGTTATGGAAACTTCTTTATCTCTAAAAAGTCATTTTTCTTGGTATCTAAAGTAATTTAGTATAAGACCATACCTTTTTATCCTTATGTTTAAATCCCTAACACCACATGTCACTGTAAGACCAAAGGAAAAAAATCCACTGGCTTGAAAACAATCCAACCTTCAAAAGGATACAAGGATTAAAATTCACAGGTCCTCTAGACCCGTGCTATGCAGCAGAAGAAGTTTCTATGATGTTAATGTTCTATGAAAGTCCTGTCCAATAGGGTAACCACTATCCATGTGTAGTTTTAGAGCAATTGAGCTGTGGACGATACAGCTGAATAACTGAATTTTTAATTTTAGTTCATCTTAGCTTTAAATTAAATAGCTCATGTGCTATGTATGGACTAGCTCAGCTTCAGGTCAGCCTTCCTTGAGTTCTGCATGCTGTTGATCAGAGGGGAGTTTGCTCTCTGAGAACATATAAGAACATATAACATGTTGGATAAGTAGCGGCCCAAATGTAGAGAGACAAACTACATACACACAGTTAAACAATGACAATAAGAACAAAGGGAATTCAAAAACATCACCTTAGAGTCCAGTTCTATAGAATAAGACTGTGCTTTCGCTGCTGCAGGTACAGAACAGTCTGGCTGAGAAAGCAATTGCCAGAAGCTTTCACTGTCTGCTTTGCAGCCAGTTTAAAGGCAAAGCCATCTTTCTATGTCATTTGTTTTAAATTACTACAGTGAATAGATTTTGCGTCCTTGTCAATGTTTACTGTCTCTCTAAGGAATAGGATTAGATAAGAATGTGCTCCTCAAGAACTAAGCACATTTAAAACAACATATGAATCCAGTTCCTTTTTTCTTACCCTTTTTCCCTCATTTTGCTTCACAGTCAGCAGTTTGAAAGAAAAGGGAAATATGATCGAGGAGAGTTAGTGTCCATGCTTTGCTCCTTTCATCACCTTCCAGAGTCTCCATGAGGATTTTCAGGGCAACTTCTACTCTTGCTTTTCAAATGTCTTTTAAAAATCCTTTGGCAACAGGTGGCCAGAAACACACTTCATACTTTTTGCAAATAGTTCAAGAGAAAGGAAGTAAAGGAGGGAAGAGAGAGTGAGGAGAGTAGGGAAGGGAACAGGAGAGAAGCAGCGAGGAGACAAGGCGCTCCCTTCCCAGTCTCTGCCACCCCTGTTCCCGCCAGGGACTGGACTTAGGTTTTGTGTCTTCCATAGTTATAAGGAAGTGACTGAGTGACTGCTAGAGACTATTTCAGACTTTCTCAGTACCATCTATGTCCAGTTGTTTCCAAATGAGCTTTTGCTCTCTTTACTTTTGTGTTTTGTTTTTTTTTTTGTGACAAAATTGACAAAAAAAAACAGAAAAGCACTGCTTTCCTGCAATCTCCCAATTAATGCGAAACTGCAGGAAACTTCACTTGAAATCAAACATTCTGGACTCCTATTTACCCAGTCCTGTTGGAGTTATACTACGAAAAGAACATTTTTTAAGTGGTAAAGATAACAAATTGAACATTACTAGTAGACACATTTTAATGATTTAGATCCCGTAATACATGCTAATTAGACTTTTGTACTTAAGAATTTCTGAAACAATTTCCAATTCCTATTGCTGCAATAGACCTATTGCAACAAACCACAGTACATTACCAATTCACCAAACATATCATTGCTCTAACATCGGAAAGGAAGAACACAAAGTTACGCCAATACCCTCAGTCATCTCTCTCCCTAACTATGAAGTCTTGAAGTCTTATCTTGTATTTCCAACACTAGGATTCCATGAAGGAATGCAGTTTCTGAAGTTCAATTTAAAAAACAATAGGGCCATGGTAAACCGAGAGGGATTAGTGGAGGCAAACAAAAGAGTACCCCTTTGGGGTTAGAAAGACTAACCCAAAAGTCCAGCTTCAGAGTGCCAGGGTCTAGATGGCATTCCAGAGCCCAGTTTAGTCTGCTTCAGTTGTGTGGGAAATTAAGGGGTTGTGCTACATGCTATTTTAGCAAGATCATCCAGGGCCAGGTAACTTTTCTCTCACCCTCATCCTCATGAACAATTCATGTGAAATGGACAAGGACCAGGAAAAGATTGTATTATTCAGGATTATCTGCTGCCCAGAACTCACTGCAATCAGATCAACAAGCTATTGTTTCTAGAGGCCTCTCTGTCTACCTGGAATGGTTTTGATTAAACAGAACTTCTCTTTGTATAGGATTTTACCTGGTTGTTGTTCTGAGAAAAGCAATTTGGCCAAGAAGAGACCTTCATTAGAAAAACACCTTAAATATAAACCTCCCAATGCAAAAACCTGCAGGAAAAGGTTAAACTATGGGAAGATATAGTCACATCTGAATGAGGTTATTGTGATTTAACCGGAAAAGTATATTGCTGAAGTATTGCTTTCACAGAAGGTATGGTCAGGCTTTGCTTGATTTGGCACTTCCATTCTTTTTATAAAATAGCATATTGTTTTAAGGAGACAGGCCTAAGAGTTTACAAGGTTACTGTGGTCATAGAATGCCTAAGGTCATTACATTAAGTTGCTTTCTGCAGCTGGATCAGTTTTACTTTTGCAAATTTTTATATTCCCAGGAATTCTAAAACTACACTGCAAAAGACAGGTTAGAATTAGAGCTGACCATAACCTAATCCACAAATACAATTACTTGAAGAATGGAATGGCTTCTTTAACATAGTGAACAGTGAGATGATGCTTCCAAATATTTGCATAATTCAGCAGAATGTTTACTAATTTTTGATACATTAAATGTATCAGGACAAATGTTCTGGCTGGCACTTAAAGGGCAATTTTATGAAATATCTGATCCTGGACTAGGGCCTATCAAAAAAGTATAGTATCTGTCAAAGGTTTTATCTTGTCAATGCACAGGACTGGCATATAGACAGCAAATTAAAGTACTGTGTCTATGTTACATTTATTGAGATTAAAAGCTGTAGTATGCTTTTAAAAGAATATCTTTACTGTGAGAAAGAACACACAGAAACATCTAGAGATAAAGGGCCATGAAATGGTTCAGGAAAATTATTATGTAGAGTATACATATATACACACTCTATATTGAATACACTATATACTATAAATACTATATATTCTTATTCAAATTTTTATATGTTCTACACCAAGCAGCATGCTCACCTAAGTCTGATTTTCACTTGGCTTTATATCATTTGCACAACTAGCAAAGGGATGAGTGGGCTGTGGTAGAAGATTATTAGGGGGCTTTGGTGGTAGGTGTGGTGTAGAACTTATTTGTTGAGGTATGAACCTATACTCCTAAAATATATACAGTGTTGTAATCAATGTCACCTTAATTACTACATTTTTTTAAGTTAGCAAAGAAAGTAAAGTGAGTTTTCTTCATTTTTTCTTAAATTTCTCATTATATAACTAGTATTTGCTTATTACCGAATATTTGGGGGAAAGAATAATAAAAGGGAAAAAAAACCAGAAAAATCCCACCAAACTTGAAAAAGCATTATTGTTATCTTGGCATATTTCCTTTCAGTCTTTACTGTAAAGTTTAAAAAGAACTGGAATTATATTACATGAAGTAAGTAGAGTGTTGGAATTTTTTCACTTTAACCTAGTATAGACATTTTCCTATGTTATAAAGGAAATTTTATGAAGGTTATTTCCACCTTCATAAAATCCTCACTACTCTAACATATTTTTTTATTATAAGGACATGTCATTATTTATTTAATCATGTTCCTAAAACTGGTTTTTTATTGCCAATTTTTATTTATCACACATGTGTTAAATTAAAATTTTAAGGTCTTTGCATTATGTCTGTTTTGACACTTCATGATAAATTCACAAAAACAGAATTGCTAAACCAAAGGCTGTAGCATTTTTAAGACTCAATACAAAAGGCGCAATTGCTTTTAACAAAGTTAGACATATGCCTTTATTTCTAAAGGAAAAGAAGCAACTGAGTGGGACTGTCAAAACTTCACATTAAAATCTCATTCAGAATTTATAGAAAATGAAGTTACTGCTTCAACTTTAGTCTTCAGCTCAAACTTATTTGCTGAAACAAGTTCTATAGGATGAGTATTGCACTTATAATGGAAAAAACAAAATATTCTATATCTACAAACAATAAAAACTAGTAAGAAATGTCAGGTGCAGCCTTGGATAATCGACATGTTAAGCTGTGGGTGTCAAGAAACTTTCCTATCCTCCTGATAGAAACTGTATCCTAAAAATATAAGGGGGTGGTGATGGCACATGGGTGATTTGGTGATGGGAAACCCAAGGGGATTGCAACTGAGATGGAAAAGTGCACAAAAATATGTAAAACTAAACTAATATAATAAAAAAAAAAGAAAAAACTATCAATAGAAAAAGAAAAAATATATATAAGGGGGAAGAAGAAAATGCATTTGAGAGAAGTAACAGGAATATAAAAGCAAAGTTTAGATTCAAAAAGGCAAACATAAGAGAATTGTTTTTCTCCCTTTATTTTCTTAGTATTCTACTGAGCAGGATATCCCTGGGCGTGAGGTCAGGAGACAGGGAGTCTGGTCCCATCCATCCCCAACAAAACTACTAGTCTGGATCAACTCAGTCTAAACTTCTTGAATACAGCTTAGCTTGTTAAATGACAAGGTGGAACAAAATCCCTGAATCCCTCTCAGTTCTTGGATTCCACAACATCCTCCTTGAAATGTGCCAGGGGAGAAAGGGCAGAGGGGTTATTCTCACTGACCGTGTTTAGTCTAATGCTGACCACTTCACTTTTCATATTATCACTAGATCAAATAGCACTTCGTATACAAAAGAGATCTTGGAAACTGCATTTCCTATTCCTTCTGACAACAGGGAGTCGGGAAGGAGAGGCAGGGGAGAGTCTGTTAACAAAAACAAAAGAGGGCTCACCATGGCCGTTACAGTAGTAGATCCACTTCTCCCGGTTCTGGGCAGGGGCCATGGATTTCTTCAGCCCGGCCTTTTCCACAATGGAGCTGGGATCCTGTCGTGGCCCCTTTTTCAGAGTCCTGGAGCTCTTCCGGATACTGCACACCACTATCACCACAAGCACCAGCAGCAGGAAAAGCACAATCATCCAGGGCAAGTGCTCGTTGATATCAAAATGCTTGTGCAGGTTCTGTCTGGGATGTCCCCTCTTGAGGCCTTTGATAGGTGTGCTGGACTTCTCACCTCCAGTGGCCTCCAGGGATGGCAGCAGCTTCAAGATGTGTCTGTGGTGGGGGCCTTGCTGGTGGTTGACTATCTGGAGGTTTGGGAGGGTCTTATTCATGTTGTCCTTCCCCTTCGCTGAGCTTGTGTTATCTGGGACAGTCCCTTCCTGGATGCCACTCAATACCTTTGGTCTAACAGAGGCAGAAGAGTTGGATTCTGTTGAGTTCATGCCTAGAAAAAAGAGTAAGGAGGGCTTTTCTATATTTGGGGATCTATGTATTTCCTCTTCTTCCTAGTCATCTCCAAGGCAGGCCAGATATCACTAAAGAGGTGACCTTTGCAATTTAAGAATAAAGTGTATTGTACATTTTCATAAAGAACCTAACAGCATCTTGATGTGGAAGGTACAAAGTAAGCTTGTAGCTATAATCACTTCCTCATGCCAAAGGAGGGCATCCTCAGGGATCCAATCTAAACCTCACAGCAGCTGTTCCTGTCTTGTACGTACTGACAAGACTCAAGTATGTTCAGGGCTTTAATCAACTTTTAATTGTTTTGATTACTGTGAGAATTGGTACAAATTTAATTCATTTATCTTGGATTTCCTTTACTCCTCCTCTCCCAACTTTTGAGTATTCATGATACAATGGTAAAATTGAGACTATGATTCAGGTAAAGAAAAGAGCTCAAACTAACATTCAAGTATGACCAATGAAAGGTTTGGTGAGACAGTTCAGTGGGTAAAACAAGGCATAATTTAGTATCTGCTATGAATAGCCAAGAATAATTGGGGAGTAGTTTTGTGGACCTCTTTCAGAGAAGCTTCCACAAGGGATTTTCGTTAAGGAGAATTAGAGGCAGGGACTTCAAGACCCATGAAACAGGACCAGACCTGTATCAATCCCAAGAAAGCCTACACTGGTCACTTGAGCTCTGTGAATCTATTTCTTAATTTTAAAGTGGTGGTCCTCACAGGGTCTTCTGATCATTATCACAAAGACTTTTTATCTTATCATTATTGTGAAGGTGAAATGTATCACACAAGCAAGTATTCTACAAAGTACAACTCAATTTGGCTATCATTTCAGAAAAATCAAATTCAAAGACTTGAAAATGAAGACTGCACTTTATATTCTGCTTGATGTTCAAAATGAATTCTGGGAATATTCAGGAAAGGGCATAAAGTTGAAATCATTTGATAAAAAAAAAAAAAAACATTATTTTCCAGGTGGGGATATTAGATACCTTCTATGTGTTTGCATGTTTCTTGAAAGTTTCTTGACATTTCTAGCTGGCTTTCCTATTCTTAGCCTCTCAGGTCCAATATACATCACTTCCTTCCAGATGCCATGGTATGTTCTCCCCTCCTCCCTCCTCCTTTCTGGCTGTGTCTATCCAGGAATGATTCCACATTGGAAAATTTGAATCTCAAAGGAACCATAAATCTAAGTCACTTACGTATTCGACAAGTTTGAATGAAACTAAGGCCTGAGAAGGTTGTGAATTATATTAAGGTCACCCGCTGTCCTTGCTTCCCTGGGTTACTTCTAGTTTAATGTGACCTTGTTTTTAGGTATTTGATTGTCCCTAATTGAAAATTTCTGAGCCTATATGTTCTAAATAGGTTCAAAGAAACCAGATTTAATTAGTTACAAATTGAGGCCCTTCCTGCAAGCAGTGACTTTGGAACAATCTACAAATGGAAAAAAAAAAAAAAACAACTTTGGTACAAAGGCACTATTCTTGGTATCTCCACTAGGCACAACGCCTTCCTCAAATAAAGACCTCATGAGGTTAAGTTACCTTTGGGAACATAAGTAGAGGAAGGAACTTCTTGGGATTCCATGTGCTCAGGGCGTGAAAAGGTGGCTGTACCAAGGGAAGGTGGGCTCGTGCTGGAGAAGGATGGGAGTGTGCCACAGACGTTGTCTGCCTCCTTCGTTCCCGGCTTGATCACCACCAGGTTCTGACTCAGACAGTCTGTGTATGCTTTGCATCTCATCACACTAGAAGGCACATCAGAGAAGGTCCCCCGAGCACACTGCTTACACCGCACGTCCTCCATCTCGGTCCCTTTCTTTCGCACACCCCAGCCCACAGGGCACACCGTATGGGGGGCGCAGGTACCATTAAACTGGAACATGCCGGGTGGGCAAGTGCATTCTCGGTCAGTCAAGGCAGCACATGGTAATTTCTCAATCATTGGCCATGGGCATGGCTGACTGCAGTCATGGCATTTCTCTATGCCATTCTCATGCCTGGTAAAGGTCCCCCTAGGGCAGCGGCTGCAGACCCGCAGGCTGGTGTTGGTACAGTGCTCAGACACATAGGTTCCTGCTGGACACTTATCACAGGTTAGCACCTGGCCCGTGGCACGGTCGATGTGGTGATATTTGCCAATGAGATTTGGGGCCTTCTGTTCTGGCTGAGCCATGGTGGTGCTAAGGAATCCAAGCTGGAAGAGAGAAAAGGAGGTGGGGGAGGGGAAAACCAAGAGGTGTTTATAGAGGAACAGAGGAGAGAGAAAAAAAAACAAAACAAAACAGAACAATCCCACTATCACCATCATCATGACTGTTAAATATCTGAGCAAAACCATGTCTTCTTTATATTACTGCTGTAAAGCAATACAAAGATTCTGATTTAACCCAACGGCCTAACCTACAAATTGTGGAACTTCTGTTTTGTTGCCTGACTTTTGCTTTAGCTTCCTTTTTCTCCAGCTGTAAAATGAAGCTGACAATACAATTCAAATTGATTAGAAAAATCAATTGAGAATATGAATGCAAAAGCGCTTTGTAGCGCATACTTAAAACACTAAATAGAAGTCGAAATCCTAATGCGAGAAGAAAATAGTGTGCTTAATATCTGTCATCTGACCCAAATATTCAACTGTCATTTCCTGGTATCAGGACAAAGTAACTGAGAAACAGCATGACAATTATTTGAGTCTCTACTTCCACAGCATCAGGTTATCCAGCAGGAATGAACCTAAAGACATGGCAGTTTTTGCAAAAGGTTTGTCTATACAAACCTTTGCGAGTTTAACTTTTGTTTACAGAACAGGGGCAGGTCTTTGGCATTCTTTATATGCTTTAAACAATGAGTTCATGCTTTTAGATGCACTTGCTGTTTGTTCAGCCCCAGAGCCCATGGACAGAGCCACTAGCAGCCTAGGCACAAAGCTGAACCCAGGAAGAACTCAATAGACATTTTAATTTATTTTCCAGAGCAGAAAATTCACCCAGCTAGACAGGACTTTATACTAGATTCCACAATGAAAGGACAACTGTGGCACTAAATCCCGAGAGGTCCTTCTGTGGGAAGGGCCAGGAGCGGCAGATGGAGGTAGCTAAATGAATATTAAAGGAGCATTTTTGTATTAATGAAAATTAAGAGGTTCTAACAAGGAAGTTCTCACTGTCCTCTATAAAACAGAGAGGGACTAAGTGTCAAAAAAAAAAAAAAAAAAAATCAGCGGTTGCCCCAAGCCAACTACCCAACTGGGCAATTTCCTTCTAAATTTTGTTTCTGTGGCAATAACTGAGAGAATAAAGCAAGACTTTTTCCAAAGTGAATGGAGTTCCTGTTTCTTAGCACCTTGAAACTTAACCAAAGATTTAATTCCCCTCTACCTCAAAATTTAACCATTGGAACCAAAAAGCACCTCCCTGGAAGCTCCTTATCCTATCCCAGAGCTGCCTCCAGTTGAATGACTGTGTTCAAAGCAAATTTTCAGTTTACAAGAGTATATTCATCTTAATCAGACTGGGGAGTGGGGCGTGGGGGAGTGGGGTGTGAAAGATAGTGGTGCATTTCTTGGTTACCAAACTTAACTTCATCTGGAGTGCTATAGAAAAAGAACCTCCACTTATAATGATACATTTGATATTCTCTTCCCTATTCACTTCAGCTTTCTTTTCTTTTCTTTATCCTCTACTTGCAAAATTTGTCAAGTCACTCTGGGTGCGGCAGCTGCATTAGCTTGAGGAAAGAAAGCCCATCACCATCTTTTGGAAGCCAAGTTCCATTTGGCAAGTACAGGCTGACACATCTTGTCCCAATCTTTCCAGTGCCAGGACCAGAACCAAGATGATGAGGAAGAGTCTCTGCTCTACTTCTCCAAGAGCCTTTGTCTCTGGTTTCTAAGAGCAAGTTTTAGAGAACTGCAGTGTTCTGGAAGTTTGGAAAACATATAAATAACCTAAATGGCAGTCTAATGCACTTTGCACATTCTGAGAGCAGAAAAGAGAATAGGCCATCTCATCTGACCGTAGAGTAGTAATCAGGAGACAGAAGCCACTGAGTCTGCCCCCACCCCCACACCTGTGCGGAGCTGGGCAATCCTGTTGGACCCCCAACCAGGAGGTGGGTCTACAGAAGCATCTCAGGAGCTGCCAGCAGCAGAGTGTGTGTGTGTGTGTGTGTGTGTGTGTGTGTGTGTGTGTGTGTAGGGCACAGGGGTCTGGCATCCTACAGGTTCTGTGTTTCCCTAGCATCTCCAAGGTTCTGCATCAAGTCCTGATCACTGAATTTCCGGAGGTCCCCCAATAGTAGACAAAGTCCACCTCCAAATTCCACTGCACCCACACTCTTCACACTCACTAAGTAGATTCTTCTGTTCTTTGTTCCTTTAGAGTAACTGATCAAGTTTCTAATTAAAGTGAAGCTCAGGACTCTTTAAGCTGCATCAGACCAGATAACCCACTTTAGGCAATGTGGCTCTAAAAATGGACCTTCAAATTACCTCATGCTACAGGAGGCAAATTCAACTCCTACAAATAGAGCAAACAAACAACAACGGCCTCACCTGTCACACTGGGCTGAACGCTGAAATGACATTTGTGTAAAGAAAACACGCTGTGAACTCATTGGACAAACATTGGTTGAGGATCGACTATGTATGTCCAAGTCACCCTGCTGATGACAGAACCTTAACTTTATTCCAGCCTTGTGGAGTTTACTTCAAATTAGGAGGGACAGAAGCAACTAATTGCATCAGTAATTACTTAGAGTTGAGATTACTGCCAAGAAGGTAAAATACAGAGCCTTGTGATAGGGGGCTGAAGGGGCACTTCCTATCTTGAGGATGTTTGAGATGTTCTGGAGCAGTTCCGAAGGATGGAGAAGCAGAACTTAACTCTGTGCAGGAGAAGTGGAAGGGATTGGGCAGAAGAAGGACCAGAGTAAATGCTAGAAAACTTGGCGTAGGGGCTAAAAAGCTTGGGTGACTCTGCCTCAAGAAGCAACAGTGGCTCCAATTAAATTTGGATAAGCTCGGCATTTTTTGCGCCTACTCCAAAATGCAGTTAGTCATCATATATTTATATGAGAGGGTGGGAGCAGAGAGAGAGAAGAGGCATGGAGTCACCTTTGTGAATAAAATGGTAGCTGGTTGCAGACTGGAAGGTGACAGTGGCATGAGGGAGGTAGATAAGAAAACTTACCTCCTGTGAAGGTGGGAGTTGGGAGTGATCTGAGCTAGGGGGGTAGCTATGAAAAGGGGAAAAGACGACAGAGTTGGTGAATGATGTAGCCTATGGAAGGAGGAAGCAGAAGAAACAACAGTTTTCTAACTGGATTCAAGAGAGCACAGATAACACAGTTCTCAAGGCAGCACCTTGGGCTAGGATGGTCCACCTAGTGGAGGAGGTGGGACTCCAAGTTCCCAAGCTCTGTTTCAAACGCAGCAGCTCTGATTTGCCAGTTCGCTAAGGGAGATTCCAAGAAGGAATTATTGGAAGGTAGGTTGAATCTCTAAGCAAGTTTGAAAATCACAGGGCTAGAAGGACCACAAACAGCCTTCTAATTCCAAAATTGATAGTTACATCCATCTGAGTTATAGGATGGAGGAATTGCTCTGGGATTCTTTATCCTGAAGCCCTGAGGAGAAGGAGGGATGGTATGGTCCCGTTCTTTTCACAGACACACAGAGGAGGCACCTGAGAAAGTTTTTTGTTTTTTTTTTTTTAAAGATTTATTTATTTGTTTATACAGAACTGGGGTACAGGTCAGAGGCTCAGGGGCGGCGAGAAGCTTCACCAGAGACAGAGTGGGGAGCAGAACAGGCAGATCTAGGAAGTACACTGCTGAGGGGAGCAGCAGGCGGGCCAGGAGAGGTCTGCCAGCCATGTGGTCACCTCTGGGGCAGGCGGGAATTGAACTCAGGCAGAAGTGGCTTTAGCTTCTCAGCGCTGTGCTTCAACCCGCTGCGCCACCAGGGAGGGCCGAAAAAGTTTTTTTTATCCCTCCTAAGGCTTTTAACTCCACCAAAGAATCATGATTTAAAATGAGATTTTTCCATTAGCCTGATGGCAACCCTCTGGAAAATGAAAAGGTACATGAGGTAAAAATCCTTCCTAAAGATAATTCTAGTAGTGATGCATTGGAGAGTGGAAAGGAAGTAGACCAAGTTCAAAAAGAATATACAAGAATGTTTCTTAAAACAAACTTAAATGATATCTAAAAGCTAATGTTAGCGTAAACCTCTGAATAAGGAGATATTCATTGAAAAATTTAAAAGAGCAGGCTAGAAAGTCTAAAGTTGCACCTGCTACCAAGAAACTTCATTATCTCATAGAAGCAGAGAAACTAAGTGGGATACTCACAAAATCCTCAAATGCACATTAACACTATCTGGGAGGCTTTTCTTAAAAAGTCACTGCTTTGGCCCTCCCTGGTGGTGCAGAGGGTTAAAGCCCAGCACTGAGAAGCTAAAAAGCCACTTCCGCATGAGTTCGACCCCCGCCTGCCCAGGAGGAGAGACTACATGGCTGGCAGACCTCTCCTGGCCTGCCCGCTGCTCCCCTCAGCGGTGTACTTGGTCGATCTGCCTGTTCTGCTCCCCACTCTGTCTCTGGTGAAGCCTCTCGATGCCCCTGCACCTCTGCCCTGTACCCAGTTCTGTATGCACAAATAAATCTTAAAAAAAAAAAAAAGTCACTGCTTAAACCTATCACCTAAGATCTTTGATCTACAATGGAGCCAGGAATTTGCTTTGCTTGTTTCACATCTTCCCAACTTTCTCACCTCTGATTCTGAGAAACACTTTGGAGAGAGCCAAAATTCAATGGGTGGCAGGGGGTGCTCTTCCACCCTCTCCTGGCACTTCTTATTGTTTTCCTATTGTTCCTTTTTCATAATTATTTTTATAACAAACATAAGCATTCTTGTAATAACTCTGACAATGACAAAATACAGGATACTACTGAAATCTCTGCTGAAGTCCATCCATCCCCAGAAAGTCTGCTCATTTTGGAGTACATCCTTCTACTTTCTCAAGTGCTTATACATTGGAAACACATAGGTACTTGAAGTTGAACAGTTTCAGTTGCTTTGGGTTTGATTTTACAGTTCTAAAGGGGACAGACCATACACATGAGTGATTGCTTCAGTCATCTTCTCTTACTACATAGCTGGAGTCTCTCCATGCCAGACACACTTCACTCTTTATCA